CTAGAATATTGAACCTTTTCACAATATTCTAATTTTCTGAGATTGTGGATTTGGGGTTTTCATGAGCTGTAAGCCATAATCATCTCAATTATGACAAATCACGGCTTGAACTATCTTGCTTTGCATGTAATGAGTCTATCTCATATATTAGTTTCACCTTTTAAGTTGCATTACTGAAATAAATGAACTTTTGCACGATATTCTAATTTTTTGAGTTTCACCTGTATTTTGCAGGAGAAACTCTTTTGGAGCACTTCTTCATTAGTAACATGGTCAAAATAGAGAGTCTTTAGGGTTCAATGAAAGCATCATTGTTGGAAGACAAAGTCTTTTGTTAATACTCGCTGATACCTTTCAAGTCTCACTGGCATAAAGAACTTCAGTTATAAATAATCTACAGTCATAGGGGGAATAAATAGAACAAACATAGGCATAAAATTGGGTAACTGAAAAAGTACATCAGAGTCCTGGTCAGATAGAAGTGACAGATAAGCACGATACTTTTTTTAGTTTTGTTTTTTTTTAAGATGGGATAGATGAATGTCTTCTGATATTCACTGGAAAAAGAGCAAGAAAGGAACATGTTGCTCCCCAGAGCTGTCCCCACATGGAAATATACACTGCTGAAGTGAGATGCTTGTAAAACGTTCCCACAGGACTGTGGAGGGAAGCAGTCCAACCTGGCCAAGGTGAAGGACGAAGGAGAGAGGGGATGATAGCACGTGCCCACAATCTATGAATTGTGGGGTTGGATACCAGACTTACATTGGTTTGGAAATCAGTACCCCAAGTACGTTGCCCTGAATGATCAATGAAAAGAAAAACTTTGCATTTTCTGTGTCATCTCTCTTCTATTGTCACTAATTGTCTCAGTCTTCATAAACGGCACATGTTTAAAACAAACACATCTTTTTCTATGCAAGTATTCAGCAAATAGATGGGTGGTTTCAAAATATGATACATAAATAAGCAAAATTAAATAATGGCAGTTGTCATTTCTTTTCAGAAATTACTTTCTTGTTCACACACATCCATTTTATGTTAGATGAGAGAATAACATTTTCCCCCAGGATCACATTCACAATTTGCTGCAAAACCTTTAACAATTTCTTCATTTCACACAATTCTTGACACTATCTATGTTAGCTTAATGATGATTCAAAACATCTTGGAAGAATTTTCAGTATAATATTCAGAACATTTATATATTTTTTCAAGTCTCTTATGTTGCAAACCACTATCAATGTATATGATAAATAGAAAGTTTTGGTATAAATGCAATGATCATAATAATTCCTATCATAATAACAACAAATTAAACAAACCAATACAGTAACCCATTCTCCCTTTCTACAGTTTTTTAAATTTTTAGTACAGAAAATTAAAATATAAGTTCGGGGGGGGGGGGGGATTTTACAAGAACAATACCAAACTAAATAAAGACATTAAAATGTGAAAAGACAAAAAAACAAAAACACATATTATCCTTCCTAGCTGAGCACTGACAAATATATTGCAACAGTAATAGCTTTCTTCCACTGCAAGTCAGGTTCAAGATTTATAAACTTCTAGTTCTATTTGGAGCCACTGACCTGTTATACATCTAACTATTATAATAGTTAACCAGTTAATCAACAACAAACTAACTCTTGTAAACAACCTGTTGTAATGAGCTCATAGAAATTCTACAAGTTTCTTATCTACCACAAATCACTCCAATCATTATCTCTAATCCATAGAAGATCAAATATCCTTGTTTGATTCTTATTAAGTCATAAATCTCGGTTGTAAATGTCTCTGCAGCATCCATTGTTTAAAAGGTCCCTCTGGAGGCACAGGATTCATCTTTCAGAAAATCTAGTCCTTCACTTATTATGTTATTATTATAACATATCCATTATGTCTGAATTTCTTGTATTCATGTCCTGATCAATCTTTTCTGCCGATCTGTAATTTTTAGACCAGGTTCTTCCTTCTTCATGTCTGACACAAACAAATCAGATTCCAATTTATCAAATTGAAGATCAAGTCCAACTGTTATTTTCTGCTGTGGAGTATCATCCTATACTTGATTTAGAACCGTTGTTAACCCATCAATCTTTTTTGTGTACAACTTTTTTTTAAAAAGGCTATAAGTTAGAAAGCATTCTTTTTTCAAAATCTTCCCAGAAAGCTTTATCTCCATTTTGAAAAACACACTTTTCCTTCCAAGGAAAGAGAAATAGACACATCATTAAAACAAGAGAGGGAGATAAGTTAATTTTTTATCTCCATAGAGATAAGGTAATTTTTCCCCCAGGGTGAAAAGTAATCAAAAGAAAGGAAATTTCCCATTTCTTTCTTTCTTTCTATAAAAAAAATGGTAAAAATAAAATCCTTATAATCCAATGTAAATTGGGTGACTTTCACTACCAGAAAATGAATTATGACTTCTTACAGAAAGTGAAAATATTTTATAGTTCAATAATAAACAATGAGAGAACAAAGAAAAAATTGTAAAGAGTTGTCAGATGTCAGAAATCAACTAGACCATTAAAGTACAGATAAAAAATAGAGACATTTTAAAAGTGCAATTAAAATCAAGGCATGTTTAAAACAACTGAACAGCTGAAGGGCAAATATAGTTAAAAAAAACCCGACCTTCTAATTGCTCCTTACCAAGAATTGCAATTTTCAAGATCTCTTTACTCCGAAGGCTCATGATCATTCAAAAATCTTAGATTCTTCCAAGCTGCTCACGTTTAATTCTAGGGAGTAGAGCCACCAAATAATCAGCTATTCAGTGGCAGGCAGGACAGAAAAAAATTGCCTGCCACTCTCAGCACACCATCTTGGGGAAAGTCCTTCTTGGGAAAAGTCTCTCAGCTGCCCATTCTCCTTATTGTGTTTTCCATCCTGGTTATAATTCTATGGTCTAATGCTTTTGGGAATGATGAACTTTTGTTCTTCCTTCTGTTCTTCCTTTTGCCAATTATATATTTTAGATTGATGACAGAGATTGTCAGAGAAAAGGGTGAAATAAAAATGCGAAAGAAAGAAAGAAAGGTTAATATATAGTAGGTTCAATGCACTATGTCAATGTCTTTCTCTGTATAGTCACCAATGTTCCTGATTAATATAGATCAGGGATCCCCAACCTTTTCGACGCCGCGGCCCGGTTCCGGCGTCAGCTGGGCGCCGCGGCCCGGTTCCGGCATCAGCTGGGCGCCGCCATCTTTTTTGACGAAAAATTGCTTTTTTTACCAAAAAAAGATGGCGGCGCCCAGCAACCAGCGGCCCGGTAAGGCTTGTTCCGCGGCCCGGTACCGGTCCGCGGACCGGCGGTTGGGGACCCCTGATATAGATGACTTTTCTCTGCATTTATTCCCTTTATTTTCTTTACTGTAAAGAAGCACAGCATCTCCACTGTTTTTGGATGACAGCTTCAATAGTCCTTTAACATTTTGTAAAAGGTAAATGATGCTCCCAAATATGGACTCCACTAAAGTATATAGTCCACTGATGAAGTGTCCTATTAATCTTCTAGAATTTAGGTTGTATGAGTATATTGTATTTCCTTGATAGTTGTTCTCTTTTTTAAAATATACTTCAGGAGAATAAGAAGATGGCTAATGGATATTTCCATAATGAAAATCTTAAAGCTGTTTCGAGTAACTTATTTGCTGCTGGTACAGAAACAACTGGAAGCACTCTGCGCTGGGCCATACTCCTGATGATGAAATACCCAGAAATCCAGAGTAAGCATGTTTCATTGTATTGTCTTCCAATCAAAAATAGAATAGTTAGTAAAAAAAGACTTTTGGTAGATGAGAGTATGATTTGAACAAGGGAAAATAGGAAGTAAGAATAAATTGTCCTTTCTGTTGATATTTTAAGGAACTCATCAATGTAAGAATATGAAGAAAGAAGTATAAGATATTTCTGCATTGACGGTTCACGCATGTTTGTTTGTTTGGTTGATTGGTTTGTCAATTGCTTACAAGATAATAGGTTTAAATAAAAACATAGTTATGAATACATTGATACATGTAAGAAAAATAAAAGAAACAATAGGATAGGGATGGTAGGCACATTGGTGCACTTAAGCACGCCCCCTACAGACCTCTTAGGAAAGGGGTGAGTTCAATAGTAGGCAGTCTAAGATTAAAGTTTTTGGGGTTTGGGAAAGAAACCACAGAGTCAGGTAGAGTATTCCAGACATTGACCACTCTGTTGCTGAAGTTGTATTTCCTGCAATCAAGTTTGGTGCGATTAACCTTGAGTTTGTATCTATTGTTTGCTCTTGTGTTGTTATGGTTGAAGCTGAAGTATTAATTGACAGGTAGGACATTGCAATGTATGATTTTATATACTATACTTAGATCGGACTGAAGGCAACGTAGTTGTAGGTTTTCTAGGTCTAGAATTTCGAGTCTGGTGGCATAAGGTATTCTGCAATGAGTAGAGGAGGGGAGAACTCTTCTTGTGAAATATTTCTGGACTTTCTCAACTGTGTTAATATCAGATACATGATATGGGTTCCAGACTGATGAGCTGTATTTGTGTATTGGTCTAGCAAATGTTTTGTATGCTCTACATTACCAGAGAAAAAGTTACGTAAGATTAGGTTAACAACTCTTAATGGCTTTTTGGCTATGTAGACACAGTGGGCTCTAGCACTTAGATCATTAGAGATGAGTACTCCAAGATCCTTGACAGAGTTTGGATCATCAACAACGTCTTGACTATTCAGCCTGTATTTTATTTTCTGATTTTTTTTGCTAATATGTAAGACAGAGCATTTATTTGTTGAGATTTGAAGTTGCCATTTGTTTGACCATTCTGATACATAGTCAAGGTCTTTTTGAAGGGTAGTAGTATTGTCTGCGGTGTTGAATAGCTTTACATCGTCAGCGAAGAGAACGCAGTTGATCTTAATATAATCACAGAGGTCATTTATGTAGAGTATGAAGAGAGTTGGTCCTAGAACACTGCCTTGGCGGACACCACTGTTGACAGGTACAGAATTTGATAGGACGCTCCCAATTTTGTCCATTTGTTGTCTGTTTGACAGGAATGCTTCTATCCAGTTTTGCAGATGTCCAGGGATACCATAAGGTTTTAGTTTTAGTAGCAGTTTGTCGTGTACCACTGAATCAAAGGCTTTACAGAAGTCTATGTAGATTACCTGTATTGCTTTGTCCTGATCGAGTTGCGTAGTCCATATGTTTTTGCAGTGTAAGAGTTGCAGATTACAGGATAGTTTTTTTCTGAAACCAAATTGTTTATTAGAGAGTAGGTTGTTTGTCTCTAAGTGGAGGATAATGGATTGATTAATAATTGATTCCATGACTTTACAGGTGACGCAGCATAAAGAGATTGGTCTGTAATTTTCAACTAGGCTAGGGTCTCCCTTTTTGAAGATGGGGATGACCGTGGCTTGTGACCATAGTTTTGGCAAGGAACTGGTCCTGAAAGATTTTTCAAAGTTTATGCTTAGAGGTTCTGCTATGGCAGTGGGTAGCTTTTTTAAGAAGTAGGCACATATTCCATCCGGTCCAATAGATAGAGATGGTTTTAGATTGCGTAGTGCTTTTTCAGCATTGTCTTCTGTAAAATCGATATGTATTAGATCATTGTAGTTGTCTGTGGTTCGACTAGGAAATACTGGGCATGATCCATTGCTGTTTACAAATACTGAGCTAAGGAATGTGTTAAAGAGGTTGGCTTTAATGGTGTCATCATCATTGCAGTCTTTACCATTAGGTCCTTTCAGGGGTGGGATGGACCTTGAGTCTTTCAGTTTGTTATTTACAAAATTAGAAAGCGCGGGTGGAATTGGTGCATAGAAAGTTTTCCTCTTGTTTAATGTGATAATTGGTGCATTCAGTCTTTATCTGGTGGCATAAATTTTTGTATCGACTTTTGAAGTTGGCAATGTGACCAGATTTGTTTTTCCGCCAAAGT